CGCCGGGGCGAGCTGCAGCAGGAGGGTGCTCTTCTCCCACACAAGCCCTCCCCGCCCCGCTGCTTCCTCCGCGGGAGCGCTTGCTCGGCTTCGCTACTGCGCTCGCCCCCCTCCTCCTCCGGCCCCTGGGGGAGTTGATTCGGCTCAAGCAGTGGCTTCCCGCACGGAGGGTGGGCGTCGCTGGAGCCCCTTTTCTTCTCCTTTTTGGAGGGGGGGCGCTACATAACTGGAGGGGGGGAGAGAGAGTGAGCAGCGCACCGAGCGAGGCTAAGATGTGGCGGCTGAGGCGTCCCTCTGACGGAAGTTGAGGGAAAGCAACTCTGCAGCTTGAAGTGATTTGGCAGCGAGCGCAGGCGAGGGAGAAGGCGGCGGCGGCGGCGGCGAAGAAGTGTTCCTCCGAGCCCGGGGTGTTTTACCCGCCCGCTCCCTTTTCCCCGCCTTTTCCTCTCCTCCGAGCGCCGGGGACTTGGAGGGAGGGGGACACTTTCGAGGAAAGGAACCCGCTTTTTTTCCAAGGCTCTCGGCTGCCGGAGAAAGCCCTCGGCTTTGGATGGCCATGGGGAGTCTTAGCCACAGTTGAGCGATTCGTTTTCCGCCGCTGGATTGGTGGGAATTTCGGAAGCCGAGGCAGGAGGGGGGTCGTCGAGCCAGGGCGGCCGAGCGCCCCTCCCCAACCCATCCACCCCCATCGCAACCCCATCTCCCTGTCCCTCTTCCTCTCCCGCTGATCATCCGCGCGGAGCTCCGAGTGTCCCGGTCCAGCCCCTGCTGCTTCTCAGCCTCTTTCCACATCTCTCTGGAAAAATAATACCTCAACTTTTGGATTTGTGGGGACTTATCCCACCCACCCCCCGCCCGAACCTGGAATTGGATTGCCATTGAATATGATAAAATGGGGCTGTTGACACCACTCCTGCTGTTGGGATTTGTCCATTTGCAAGTTGAGGGTAAGTTAAAAGTGCTGCGTTTCGGTGTCATTGCTTTGGATTTCTTTACATCCTAACTTGGAACCCCACGCGGGGGAAGGAGACCCTCGCGTTTTTCGGCTCGAAAGCCCGGGTGCTGCTTCCGGGCTTTGAAAGAAATGGTTTTTAAAAATTCCTGATAAAAATAGAACGAAAGGACACATGTGGATGCGGTTCTTTTCTTTTTCTTTTAAAGGAGATTTCTTTTTGCCAGCTAAATGGGGAAAAATGGTTTGTGAATAGAGAAGGCGTGAGAAGGGTGGCGAAGGAAATCAACCACCCTGGTGGATCTCCGAGAGGCACCAGCGGATTTCTGTTGCTGCTGATCTGTTTGCCTGGGGCTGAACTTTGTAGGTGGAAAGTCCTCTGATTAAACGTGGCCATTGTGCCTTCGATGCAAGAGGGGTGACCGGGAAATTTGCCACGGCGAAGTTCTCAGTGCTCCATTTGTAACCCATGCACGCAGGAAAAGGCACTAACGTGTGGAATGCGCTGAAAGGTGTGAAATAAATATGGCTGTGAGATGCGGTGTCAAGCGGAAAGTACACAAAGTAGGGAGTGTGAAAGTGGGTCGTGGCTGTGGAAGCCTCCCAGTACAGTATAAATCGCACACAGCAGTTTCTGCCACACGGAGAAGCTCAGCTTCCGCTGTTGAAAGACAATGGGGATTTTTTGAACAGGTGCTGTTAGGTGTCTCCTCTGCTGTAAAGGCAGTCTCCCTTGCATGGGTTTTTGTCTTTTGTTCTGCTTGTTCAGGTCCCCTCAAGTAAACCCCACATCGTCTTGGGGATGCATGCTGCAGGGCATTTCACATTGGAGTGTTAAGAAACATCACATGCTGTTGGATGCCATGTTTGAAATAAAGGAAGTTGAGAGAAAACTAGATTAAGCCAATAATGTGTCTGTACAACTTCCAGCCTATAATTCAGTTATGTCAAAACCCCAAAGAAAGCATGGTGATTAATGCATATGTGTATGTCATATCCCAGAATGTACAACCAAGCATGGTGGTATTTTATGTACACTATTGTGCACATGTTGTGCCTAACATGATGGACACTGATGCTAAGCCATTCATCTGAACAGTGGTGATGGGAAGGAATAGAATGTCAATACTGTATATCTAATCCATCTATCTATCTTTGGCTGTTGTCCTAATCTGAATATTTGGCACTCTTTAAACAGGGTGCTTTTCGGGGGTGGGGGTGGGGGAGTATAGCTTAATTCACAGGTCTGGGATGCATAGCAATTATGGTCAGGCTGTGAGACCAAACTTAGTTCTAGCAGAAAGCAAATACTAAAAACATTTAAGGTATCCATATCAAAGGGAGGCCTCTCTTGTAAACACAGAGTGATATTGCATTACCTACAATTACTGCATGCACTCATGGGTGGCATAAGTAACCATGCCTCCTTCTCGCCACACCCTTAGCAACAGAAAAGGCACTGGAGAGCCCCACGAAAAGCTGGAAGTGCAGAATATGTAAGCATTGGTTCACGGTTGTGTAATGAATATGTCATGTAATGTGCTCCTGAGTTTCAAAAAATTATGAAGCATTGTGATTTAGACAAGACACATTGGAAATGTTCATAAAACCTGAAGCATCAGGCTGTAGAAATGTAGTTATTAGCAGGCATGTAAAATTGTAGGTAGCTAGAAGGAATACAATTACAGTGCTCAGTGGAAGTGACAGAGTGAATCACAGGAGTCTGGTGTTACAGAATGTAATTAATGTACCAGGCTGTTTAGAGATATAGGAAACAAATGCAATTAACCAGCTTGCTGGAAGGAGAGGAATACAACATTACTTATTCAGGTTTTCTTCCACAGATAACAGAACTTAAACTTATTTCTTTAAATTTAGCTTTCTTCCACAAGGCAGGGCTATGAGCAAGCTCCTTGGTTAGGTTAGAGAAAAATGATGTGAGCATTCCAAAAGATAAGTGTGTGAATACTTCAAGAGAAGATTTGGGCAATGATAAGCTCAGTCAATGCAATTCTGGATCCTGGCTATATGTGACAGATTGCTCCCAGCACTTTGTTGTTGTGTTCTTGTTTATAGTCTAAAACATGTTTGAGGGGGAAAAACAGATCTGTCTTTCTGGCCAAACGATCAAGTTAAGAAAGCCTACTATTTTTGTCATTAGCACATTGAGTTTGTACCTCCCAGACAGATAGAAATGAAGAATGTATCACAGATGTTGTTACAGTTCCCATTTTACTCTTTCTAATTTTACAGTTTTGTGAAAACAAACTGTGAATCTGACAAACATGTGTTTGTAAGCTTAAATGCTACACAGATACATACTAATCAGGAGAGATTGTCCAAGCTACAGTCAGTAGTAGCAATTCTAAATCCGAAATTCCAACATGACCCTCAAAGGCTGCAACATTTTAGGGTGATGTTGGAATTTTGAGAGAATATTGTAGATGCCATCAGAAAATGACAAACTTTTAGGAACATGTCCATCCTTTCAGTGGCTGTGTTTATTCACTCTTAAAAAAATGGTAGTTCAAGGATAATGATGATGATAACAATAACAACAATAATAATTGTGTGCTGCCACATCACTTCTGACTTATGCGGATCCTTTTCAAGGTTTTCTAGGTACAAAATACTCAGAATTGTTTTACCATCTCCTCCTTCTGAGGGCATCCTCAGAGTCTACGCAGCTTGCCCAAGGCCACATAGGGTTGCTTTTTCTGGAATGCACAGTAGGGAACTGAACTCAACTCACTGAACTATGCAACTAGCTAGTTCAATAATGGCAAAGTGTAAAACACCCATTTCACAGAAGAACTGGTGAAATTGAGCAAGGAGTAATGATCCTAAGAATCTAGTTACAAGTTTCTGGGCCCTGAAACGCAAAAGCAGTCACTTGATGCCACTTTTCTTATCCAGCAGAACATCTATTTCACAGAAGGTAAACATATTTGTTTGTTTTCGGTTTTTCTCTCCTAGGACACACACATATAGATATGAGAGATAAATGCACACTGTCACAGAAGCTGCCATGTAGCCTCAGCAAATGACATATTGGAAGGAAATAATTATTTGCCCTTCCTTCACTGATAGCCCTATAGGGATGGGAATAGGAGTAGATGGGACTGTTATTGCAGTTTGCTTTTGACAAGAATTTTCAAAGTTCTCAAATGTCTATATAAGTGGGAAGGAAATAACTTCAGTTTTTAAAAAAAAAAAAAACATATAGGAGAAAGCAAAAAGATTTGTTGATGCTATATTGCAGTTTGCTTTTGACAAGAATTTTCCAAAGTTCTCAAATGTCTATATAAGTGGGAAGGAAATAACTTCAGTTTTTTTAAAAAAAAAACATACAGGAGAAAGCAAAAAGATTTGTTGATGCTAGAGTTTCCTTTCTGTCCTGTTCAACTAATGCAGAGACTTGTTGCCACCAATCAGAATGGAAGTAAGCACGTACAGTAATGGCCCAATAGAAACAGCAACAGGTAAAAGAACAGTAAATCCAAGAAGACGATTGTACCTGGGGGACTGAATTGAACTTGGTACAAAGAGCAGCAGAAAGTCTTGTAGATGCCATTGCATATGTTTGCAGCTGTTGCTTGTGGGTACCACATCGGGGGTTTATTTATATTTACCACTTATTACGAAAAATAATTCTGAGCGTCCATAAATTAAATATTGGCCAGAATCCTGTTGCTGATTTATGCTTGCATATGTGAAATAGAATAAATTTGGGTGGTAAACTGCTACTCGTTATCAAGGTGCTGATTGTGTTCCTCAGCTGCTAGCAGAAATTTGTTCCTTAGACTAATGTGATTTCCCTTACACAATGTAAACTGGCAATATTTTTATCTCTGTTTTATTTCTTCTCTGCCCCTAATACAGCAACAGTAAGCATAAAAAAGGGATTACTGAAGAACAAGGTTTCTCTGTTGAAACCAAAACCAGCTGTTTCTCCCCCTTCAAACAAAATAATAAAAAAGGTCATCTCTCACTTACAAGCTAAACCTTTGGGCTTTTTGCATCTCAGTAGCTCTCCTTTAACATAATTGTGTTTTTGTATTTCCTTGGCATGGATTCAGCCTCAGAGAAACATCTATGAGTGTTTCAGATGTAATGTTTGTAGTCTGCCTATGCTGTGAGGGAGCTTTGTTGAGTTTCCAGAGGTATGGAACTATGGCTGAAAAACAGATGTAGGTGGTAACTCATAATAAAGCTTTTAAGCAGTTCTGGTGCACCTAGAAGTTACAGGTCTCCGTGATAACGTGACAAGACGTATAATCTGCAATGTGCATGCTTGGATTCTGGCAGTTTAGCTCCTTTTCTTTCTGTCCAAAATATAGGTGACTGTAATACCAACCCCTCACTATGCCTCATTACTGTCAGTCTTGAATCAAGCTCTGAACATTAAAAAGGATTCTTGCATTCATACCACTTTGCACACACACACAGTTGAGGCCACACTTGAAACTGCAGTATATTTGGATCAATATTTATGCCCAGATTGAGAGTTTGGATAGGACTAGTATAGTGTAGGATGTGAAGAATAATTGCTATATTCCTCACCCTGATTAATATGATCTATTTTAACTGTGTGATGTTCTTCAACAAAAAGTTTTCAAACCTAGTGAGATTCTTTGCCTCCATCCTTGAGCAAGTGAAGGAACTCTTCTTCTTTTTTTAGATCAATGTCTCTGTACAAAACACTCTTCCCTTTTGAGAATACAAGCACCGAAGACTAAGAACTGATCATAAAGATGCAAACCTCCTTAACACAGTCCAAGCCAAACAAAACAAAAAAGCCCTACCCAATGATTCTGAGTTTTAGAAGTCTATGTGACTAAGCAGCAGTTTACATTATTTATACAGTTTACATAATTTACCCAATTTATAGAAAAACAGCTGTGACAAATGTAAAGGTATGGATCAAAAGCAGCAGGAAATTACTCCCTGTCCTCATAGTGTTAAGGTGAGAACTGAACAGGATTTCAGTTCTTC